ATCTTCTGAAATCATATGATCTTTAAAAGGGACAAAAGTACGATATACTCAAATTGTTAAGCGTGGAGGCTGTGACGCAAATAAATTTTATTTCCTTTACAGAAGCCTTATAAAATTTGTTGGTGCATCGGTAGACATTACGGCTTCAAAACCAGGAACGATTGAGGAATTTGAATCGTGCATAAATACCAAGTGTTCAGAATTACTTTTAAGATTAGCAAAGTAATGTTTACTGCACAGATATTAAGAGTGAATATAGAATTCATTGCTTTTAAGAGGCCCAACATCATAACCTTCAGCTTAAATAAATATACAATTCTGGTTTTTGTCACAACGGCTCATTGGGTTTACTCTCAAATCAATAAATGAGATCACGTATTCAGACAGTTGAAGTGGACTAAATGAGAATTGAATAAGTAGTTTTGATTAGATTTGCTTAGATATTTGAATAAAAGCGCGATAAACAGAGAAAATAAAGTTCTTAGACGAGCGTAGAGATGACTGACAAGTCGTATCAATGATTCAGAATTGAAATATGCATTGATAGAGTCAATTTTGTAAGCAACTTTAAAAGCAACGACAACAATTATCGTAAATATACTAGGCTAACATATAAATGAGAACAGTGCGACATTAATCATGGCTTGTAACATCGCTGATTTTTAATAATACTTAATAATACTTACGCTCTTCTATTTTGCAGCTGAAAGACAATCGAAGTGCAATCAACCAGAACCAGAGTGTTTTAGAAGCAGTAGATAAATCCATTGAAAATCGCGCGAAGGTCTTAGGCGAACATGATTAAGAAAAAAGAAGAAAGATGATGCCCTAGCAAATTTCAAAACTAGCAAACTCAATAGAAGTGGGAAGTAGCAGACATCAAGTCAAAGAGAACCTTTGAGAGTGTAACTTTGATTCCAAGCACTATTTGTATTTTATAGATTAGCTTAGATTAGATTAGATTTATTTGAGAAGAGAGACACTCACAGTTGTGTATTGTTTATGAGTATCAATTATCTTATAAGCAATTTATGTATTGATTTGCATATAAATGGCAGAAGATGGTATTAAAACTTAGTTATAGTTTATAGTTGTAACAGTCCTGAAACTTGTCAAGTGTTATTAACAACTACTTGAATGTTTGTACATTATATATTGAACTTAAATGAGTATCTCTATGAAGTTAAGTATGTTGAACTTATGCCAAGTTTTTAGCCTTTTTATAACTTACTACGGAAATGCTATATTATTAACCTTGATTCCGGTTGTATAGGCGATGTAGGATATTTAGAACATAGATATGTAGATATGTATTTTACGAATTACAATGCGAAACTTGAGTACATTGAGTACAAATGTTTAATAACAAAGACTAACGACTAAGCTGAATGCCTTAATTCACCAGATCGATAGCCACCAATTGTGTGGATAAATTTGATGTTGTAGTAAATATATGGTAATGTGTTTTATTGTGTCTTCAGCAATTGTTACAGTTGATGGATATTCTTAAGTGGGCGTATCACTTGTGTGTAGAAAAGAGATATTTCCTTAACACCTGAATAGTCCTGAGGGCTGTTACACAATGGAATTGCGCCACAGTATAGAATTCACTTCTTTATGATCACAATTCACATTATAATTTAATAGAACCTATAGGTTAGGTTAGGTTACTGGGGCCGTCCGAAGACTCACTTAGACCATGAGGTCCATTGTGATACCCTAAGAAATTGACACCTGTCCCTATAACCACTTGGTATTGGCTACAAAGCCATTGACACGAGCTATGGAAATAGAATCTAGCTCTCTTAATGAATAGAAAAAGTGCGACCCTAAGTAGGATAGTCTATGTCTTGCGAAGGCAGGACACTGTAGCAGAATGTGTGTTGGTGTAGAACCTATACGATTCAATTAAATTTTGGAGAACTAAATTATAATTTCAAAAAACTTCTAAAAAAAAATAATTATTATTATTATCAATCCATAACTCATATTGTTGTTGCTATTGCTATTTTCATGAGTATTTGTGTTTTTATATGAAAATAAAACAAATGTGACCTGTTGAATGTAGAATACTCGTATATGTAATAAAACTGTCGGTTTAAATCGGTTTTAGACCAGAATCTCCAAGTATTAATGCGAACTATAGTTTAACAAAAGAAATAAATTTATGTCATACATTGTGGAAACAAGGGCTCGTATCAAAAATTAATGAGAAAGTATAACTCTCTTAAAGTATTACTCTTAGAACTTTTTATTTCTAAATGGACTCTTACCAAAGAATATTGACTATTCAATATACTATTCGTCAATGGACGAAGAATACAATAATGTATTCAGTTCGGAAGCCAATTGTTGGCATAGAAGTATCTTGATATAAGTCCAAACGATTTTTCTTATGCGTCTATATCAGCTTCAGTGTATTGGTTCCTCATACGTTGTCGATGTCGAAGGCAAGAACGACTAAACGCAATTACCGCTTTTATCTAACTTATTAAGGGAACTATCGACTTAGACTTTCTAAGTTTGCTTAACAATTCGACCAATTATCTTGTTTTTAGCAGTTTTAAATACAAGTTTATAAATATTGACGTTGTCAATTTTGGAACATTAATACAAAACGTGGAAAGTTGTTATACTTAATCATCTTCCTTTGGAGAGCAATATCGTGATTCGCTCCATCCGCTTTCAAACAGTTATTTACACAACTTTATACAAAATTTATAATAAATAAAAGATTAATATAATAACAATTATTTCTAAGGAATGAGTAATTGAGTTGGCATGTGCTTCTAAAAATTTCACACTAGGGTGTTATCGATATTGGATCGAGATTGGATACGATGAAATTGAAATCGAATGCGTAACTAAATTTACTGCATGGACGATGTTTGAATGTCGTGGAGAATTTGCTTCTGAAACAAATACGTTACTATACCAGGCTATCATAAATATGATAAGAGTGCTTCTATAAATATAGATTGAGAGTATAATCCATGTCGGTTCATATGTATGATTCACAATTCTGATATTAAAATCAACGAAACTACTATAGAATGCATATTTATATCAAGATTATACAAATACATATAATCTAATTCTTTACAATTATACAGGAAGGGAAAATAGTTACTGACGAAAAATCAGTAATTGCGAAGATTGTGCAATTTTGCAAAGATTTATTTGAAAAATGGTTTGAAAAAATGTGATTAGTCAATGGAACGGTAATCTAAGAGCTACCATAAAAGTAGGAATATTGTTGTTGGGTGTAGCGGATTTGTAAGATAGGACTAATAACCATTGATCAAATATGCACTGAAAGGCATCGATCGCCCTTACTAATATATCTTAAAAAGTGTGTACATATACCAGGCTGTCATAGAGTTGAGAACAGGGCGTTTAAAATAATGTCATGGAATATCTGTAATTCGTAGTAATACATACACAACAAATCATGTAAAAGTATTAGGCCGACATGAGAATAATGTGGGAAACCTAATGAGATATCATCGTAGAAAACACTCAATTGTTGAATGTATCTGTCAAATTGAAGTTGTCAATTTGAGAGATACAAAAGCCGTGAAAATCGGCAACTATTAAATCAGAGAGAAATCTACCGTTGACTATAAAGTTTTTGTTTGTGGTCGAAAAGCTTTGCTCTATTGTCACAGAAAATATTACCTTCAGCAGAATCCAACAGTCGAGAAGTCGAGCGATTGAGTATTTGAGCGATTGAGTAGTTGAGAGATTATATATAATTTTATTAGCAACATCTTCCAATTTCTGTACACTTGATAACTAAACGTAGACTGCCCCACAAAGAGGGATAAATATTCTCACAAAAATCGCATTATGTGAGGAACATTTGAGAACATGAACATGAGAGTCCTATGTATTGACTGTATCGGAATAATTTAAGTCGAACTGTATTAATTCGGTGGTAAGAATGCATAACTTTCGTTTGGAAATGCAGATTTTGTTGTAGTAATAGAGAGTCCTCAGGCCAACGAACAAGTTAAATAAAAAATTAGATACAGCATAAATCTTAAATGTGAATACCGTTGGATGATTCCTTGGGTAATAACATTATTTTTCAACCTCATTCAGTAATGCGAAATTGTTTATTTTATGGAAAAATGTAGATAGTATTTTTCATGTTAGCAAAACTCTTTTGTATGCTTTCTATATACGTATTTCTGAGATAATATCAGAAAAAAAAATGTCATTGTTTACATTCATTAGGAAGACTTAAAAAGTATTTCTGAACACAAATTTCCGTATCTGATTTGGACCAATATATCAGAGAGAGAGAAGAAATTAAATCTGAAATGATTAGCGGTATTTTGTGTGATGACATCAGGAATAAATTTTGTTGTTCATAAGACGAATTGACTTAAACTATGTCAATATATCAAAGAGATTTTTTATGAGAATTAATAATGATCTAATTTATTGATTGAGTGCCATTTATAGCAAGGCACGTTGTGGGACATTTGAAATAACTCACGTAGTTTATGTTATAACCTACATTCATTATATACAGCACCTTTAAGGAGAGTTTCTCGAAACTGAATATACCATACATAACATTCTTCTCACAATAGATCAAAGTAGACGTAACAAGTCTATTCAAGTTTTTTTGTGAAAACACAATTTTCGTGGCTACACTAAATTATTCTAATACATGGACGTTCAGGTCACCTACTCCATATCTAATATTAATACACAAAAACAAGCATATATATATTTCAATATTATTTTTTTTTTGAAACTCACCGATGTATTGGATTATAAGAAATCACTATTCGCTTCTAACTACTAATGAAAATAATAGTTTGTTTATATCAAACCTTCGTTGATGTGTTCACTAATTTGATCGAAATAATGGTTATATCTTAGCAATCGTAGTGTCTATCATTTCAATTACTTGCTGTTAAATTTTTTCAGTTAGTCAAAATTAAAACTTTAAAGGCAGTGTTTGATTTTTTGTTAAAACTAAATTCTCTTGTAAAATTTTGGAAAGAATTTCAAAAAGTTGTAAAAGTAATTATAAAAATGCCTCAAGAAAGTGAAAACCTAATTCCCGATAAAAAATTTGATATCAAAACTGTGAATGAAGACAACGAAGCCCTACAACAAATTGCGGTGAATTTTATTTTTGGCAATTTTGAGGAAGAACCTGAAGAACATGTTGTTCCTGATAGAATTGAGCAGAGACCGGCAGCAATAGTCGAAGATATACCTAATTTGTCCTTTGAAGATGCGACATCGGGCAATCTTCATGATATGAATACACCAGATGCTGAAAGTAGTTATCAAATGATTAATATTCAGTTTCGAGATAATGAAAGTATACAGGAACCTTGGCATACAAGTAATCTGGAAGGAAATGAAATTATAGAAGACGACCCGGACCCAGATGACTACTATTTCTAGAAGTGTTCATAGTTAGCAATGGTGAGTTTGATTGCCCACTAGTTTATGTCATTGGCAATTGAAACCATACATTAAGTTTTTCAGATTAGGGAGACCACGGGAAAAGGCAAATGGAGAGATAACAAATACTGAAACATTAAATTCTAATGGCAATTCGTAGGTGTGGTCAGGGAAAAAATCTGTATGTGATTAATATTTTTCTTCGCAGAGCAATTTTGAAGATGATATGTAAAATTTTCGTTTATATGAAACTAACGGGTGTGAATTAACAGTTAGTTAATTTTTAAATATATATATAATTATTGGATGGAAGTTGGGATTTATTTATTCGAAAAGACGGGTTTGTGAATTAAATTTTTAGTTAAATGAAAGTTGAATTTTAGCTATTTTAAATTAAATAAAATGTGCAATACAATATTTATATCAGTGTCTAAATATTCTTATTCTTATATTTAAGAATAAATTATTTTTGTTGTTGTAGTTGGTTTTTTAGAAACCAGGAAACGGCGTCGAAATTACATAAGAAATATTTTCCGTTTATGTATGTTGAGAAAAAGATTATATGTGGTTGTTAATCCATTTTATATGATTGCTTTGCTCTAAAATAATTATACTCTGTTTCGCATAATTTAAGTGGATCATTTTCAGTTCGATTTATTCACATTTCATATATATGAGCTTAATCAATTTATATTTCAAGAAAATGAATTAAATGCGATAATTAAATATTTATCAGAAAATAGTCAATATTCTCTCTTTTTAGTTTTACAAATACATATTTATATTCATAACACGTACTTACATTCATTTAAAAATTATATTAATGTTTTAATATGAAGATAAAAATACTAAACCCTTCAGCATTTTATACTGAATTTATTAAATAGGACATTGAAAAGAATTCTCATTACTTTACCCAAATAAAACCTGAATAAAACAATAATTAGTTTAAAAACTTGAACAATTTTTCGCTATAGAATTAAATAAATTTTTAAATAGATTTAAATAAATTCAAATTGTTATATTTTTCATAATTGGATACGTGCTGCTTATTCTCTTATGCTGCATGGCATTAACTCAACTCAAATGTATTATGTATATACATGCATGTATATACATTATGTGGTAAATAGAAATAAATGCAATTGACGATTGCCACAATGACAATGTCATCTATAGAATTATAGAAAGTAATATCACATCAGACATATCAATACATGACACTATATGCCGGATACAAATTCCAAGCGTTAGCTTTGTATCAGTATATTTCAATCATTCTCACAATATGGGGAATTATGTTGTAATAAGTCTTATTAGCTTTTGAAGCCAAGTCTTCAGTTTTACTTGAACTTGGAAGTCTAAACGCCTACATCTTCAATGATGTTTTGGTGTTGAATTTTACGTCTATACTTCTAAAAGCTTCACTAATGATATTTGTGTGAAGTGGAAGTTTAAACATTTACTTTAAAATTGATAGTCTATCTGTGAAGTAGTTATCTATAATTAGACGGACTTCAGGACTACGCATTTCGACGACCTTATTTATGAAGTTTAGCTCAGTACAAACTTGTACAACCATGTTGATGATTACTGTTTAAATAAATAAATAAAACAATAAAATAATTTTTATTAAAAAACAAAATTAAAAAATCTGACTAATAGCCCAACACTCATCTATAATAAAGCTTATAAAAAAAGTCAGCATATGTAAAACAGACTATTTTGTGTTAGTCCCTTTCGTTTAACTGTTTTCCACAGTAAGTAGTTAAAGGACGCTTTTACATCTGGCTGTTGTAGATGATATTAAATCTTGGAATCTCGTACATCTTAAATGCCTCTCAGGTTACTGAACCATTGGATCGCAGCAAATCTTATTATTTGTTGGTCTTGTCTTTTTTCACTTGCTATCCTCGCTTCTAGGTATATTGGAATAAATTAATTCCGAAGTAGATTTCCATTCTGATTTTCGAATACACGTACTAAAATGATTAGTGATTTGATTGCAGTGATTAGTTCATATTTAATTTTTTTTGCAGTTAAAAGAGATCAAAACTTGATTTACATTTCATGTCTTGCCGCTGAACTTCTTTCGATATATACTAATAAATCCCTTAAATCAGGTATTTCAAACGATTTAGGTGGCCAATATGTTGGTGCCTTTAAAGAATATTTGGAGGGATGACAGCTTTATACTGCTGCTAGCAATTGTTTGCCCTTAGTCTCAGAGTCGTTAGCCGTAAGCCCCAATTTGCATTGCAATGATTTGACAAATTTCTTGCAAGTTTCTTTTATAATTTTCTTCGTGCGTGGACTCTAGAAAGCAATAATTTTTGAATATCTGTCGAATCATTAAGTAAAATACTCATTGCTTGAATCTCTTCCGAGTTAAACTGTTCGGCTTCAACAATTTATTGTGGATATACATAGTCCATAATAAAAATCATTTTTTGACATTCCGAAAAAGCCTTACTGAATGAAATGGATATCCACGTAATGTCTATTGGTTAATTATATTGACATACTAAAAACTCTAGTGACAGCTTGAACAAACCTTTACTGTTCCAAATGTCTATTATTAATTTATGATTGTTGGATATAGTTTAGAAGTAAGAGTGACAAGTATATTAATTTCGGGTAATAATTAATGGAGCACATGTTTAAGCAATATCATTAATTAAGTAAATTGGTTCTTGATAATCTATGTTTAATGTTAAACACGTTTGTAGTGGTATAGCTTAAATTACAAAGAGCTGTTTTATTGATATCAGGACAAACAGACAGGGATTATTTCGTATCGTGACTTTGACTCTTTATTTCTACAACATCATATAAATCTATCAACATATTTGAATTATTAACCAAAAAAGTCATAGTTCTTATTGATTATTTATTGTACCCATCAAGAGCAGTCTTAAAGTGATTTGTCTTTATGCGACTAATGGCGATACTCCTAGCTAAAATTGATGATGAAAGTAAATCGTTTCAATACCATTTTTCAGGACTTAACAACCTACTATACCTGTGTTAGAATATAATTGGTGCTACTGGTGGGATTTCACTTGCAATACTCAAATTAAGCTAAAATCTGAACCCAGGTGTCCGCAACTAGTTGTTCTGAATACTGTTATTGCTCCTTAAGGAGATTTTGTAGTCACTGTGGTCAATATCTGAAATTATATAGGAAAAGTGTTAGCATAGTGGTGCTTTAACTCATAGTGGAATTGTGTATTTTTAACTAAGTGTTGTAACGCAAAGAACAACAGAGGGTTCACACGTTAACAACGAAAGAGCTATATCCAAACATTCTACTTTAACTCAATATTCGCATTAACTTGACACGTGAGTTGAAGACACAATGGTGTGAGGAGAACTACGTAATAGAGCAACTGATTAATTTGGAATTCTATCTCATGTGTGTGAGAAAATTTCTTATACGTTTCTAGGGAAACCCGGACTCAGAATGTAATTTTTTTGAATAAATAAGTAACAGAAATCATTAATAATTAACGCTTTGTATGATTTTTTGAAGTAAAAATTTGGGAAAATTTTTTGGGCTACTGGGGGTCCAATGTTTCTTTCACAATGTTTCAAATACTGAAACAAATTTAACATATTGCTACCACAAGGACACGAAGGAGGATATGAAGAAGGATATGAAGGATGCAAAAATGGACATAATCTTTTCTGCTTCAAAAAAAAGTTCTGTTAATGTTGATAGGAATGAGCATTTTGTTTATATTGTATATTCGAATATCCTGATATAAATACACTAAAAACTTGAAATTCAGAACAGATTTTCTCTAACCATAAAATGATTGTCTAATAGATTCTAACAACATATTTGTGTGGGTACGAGCTTAGTGTTTTGCACAAACCCTAACAATTGGAAATTCCTTTAATATCAACAAAGTCCATATGTGCGATAAGTAGTGAGGACTTTTCTGTGCATAAAATTAAATATACATTTAAAGAGCCAAGCAAATACACAGGATATATGCAAATTTTGGAGCGCGCGTACTCCTTCGTAGCTCGACATCTGTGTATGCATGTCATGCACGCGTGTTTATGTTTCTCACTGAGCTTAGCTGACGTGCATTTTTGGCATAACAAATACGAAAGTATTTATCTATCCCAACGTTGGTTTGCTCCTCTGTCCGTCTGTCCGTCTGTCTGTTTGTCTGTGTCTGTTTGTTTTTCGATGCTACTGTCTTATTATTTACAACAAATTCAACATATTCTCACATGCATGCATAATAAAATAACCACTGAAATGATGACAGTAATAAAAAATGAAAACACAAACCAAATCGCATCTTTGTTTCTGCCACATTCCTTCCCAATGGCAGTCATCGGTTGTCGTCAACGGTGCAGTACCACATCCAGTTGTCTTCCATTCGCATACCTTTTTCCTAAAATATGTGAGCGAAGTGTGCGAATATTAGTTTAGGAACTTATGCGGAATTCACTATTTGCTTGCTTTTATTGTTACTTCTATTGGTACTACTCTCTGTGTAAGTTCTGTGGAGCTCTGAATTAATTTAAATCGTTCCATTTTACGAAAAAGTACTCGTAAATAATTTTTATTAAATTCCCTGCTTTTCTATGAAAAACAATAAAATTTGCGTAAAAGTTGTCAATTCAAAAAGGCTTTGAGAAACTTAAATTTGAAAAATAATATTTTATTTTTAAATCATATAACAAAACCCAGAAGTATCCATAGAGTCGCCAAGATTATACAGTAGAGACTCACAAATTAGAACCACTTGGTCTTTCGGGTAGTTCGAATTTGCGAAAAGTACTAATTTATGAACTTTTTTTATTTCTATAAAAAATTATCAAAAAATTAAAACTCTACATAAAAACTTTATGTTACAGTTATGTTGAAGTTTTTCCGAGTTGTTGGGGGGTTTCTGCAGAGTCCCACCCATCTCACAGACTAATTTGTGTTCTCCTCATAAGCTTCGTGATTATTCAATGACTGATCTAAACCCCCGTGCGGTTAGTAATTACTCTGAGATTAGATAGTGCTAAGTAGGACAGCCAGTGGGTTTTCGCATATAGTTTCAGGTCTCTATCCCTTATATATATCTTGACCGGTTCTCTTCTAAGGACTCTTAGCATGTCATTCGTGCGGATGTACCATGGCATTTTAAAGAGTCTTCGGAG